ACCATTCGCGAGAATTCCAAAAATTGCGTAAACACAATCTATTTTCGATGAAGCACTCACAGACAACAACTGTGTCTGAGCGCAGCACAAACTATGACCATTTGCTGCGGTTAAAACTGGTTGAAATGAAATCCGAAATCGCACGCGAAATCGCTTGATGCGTCTGATCAGTTGTTAAAGTTGGATCAGATGAGCTGATCACTTGTGATCTGACAACATCGATCACATCCGATTTTGTTGACGTAGTCGTGGCTTGATTGTAATGCAGCAGCGCAACGAAACGCGTTGACTATGGGGAAGAACCATGTGGATAATGATGATGCATCAACTGCGACGAGGTTACTACTAAATGAATGAACCTCTCAGTCTCTGTTTAGAGAACGAATCATTTAATGAAGCGAACTCAGAATCGTTGACGAATGGAACTTGGCAAAACGCTGGAACACCTGAAAAAGAGCAATCATATTCATTACTGCTGATAAAAGACGATAGTAGTGTTTCTTCTCTAGTACGTGATATGGCCACTGGCCGTCACATATGAACAATGCGTGATAATGGCGAATCTAGAATATTTGAAGGCAAATGTCTGATTATGAGTAATATTTTGCAGATCACTTGATTAACGATTAGAGTCATCGCTATTCGTATGAATATTGCTGCTGATGTGATAAGTATTTCATTCAATTGGTACTCCTATTGTTGATATCTTCAGTAAAAGGGATATCATCGATGAAACTTTCTCTGATATCGTCGACTTCAATCCATCATTTTAAATGGAATATGAGTTATGAATCAAACGAAAACAGTGAAATTGTATGAGATTACTTACCGTAATCGTTCGCCAAATGATTCCGATCGAATGCGATGCGATGATGATCAACATTCACAATTTCGCTTCTCTCCCTCAGCACACGTCGCTTCGCTCACTTCGTTCGGTGCCTCGCTGGCCTTCAGGTCGACGCCTTTGGCGCGCCCAGGCAGCGCCACCAGCCAATTCACAATAGACGATGATGCCCTCGAGGGATCGTGCGCTGCTGAAAAAACATCAAACGTTCAGAATATTGAAATATTCTCGGCAGGAATTCAATCGTTGTATCACACTCTGATAACAGTTGAACGTCTGAACTGAGGCAAGAAATGCGGAAAGCTAATTTTTGAGTTTTTCAACGAACAACTCAATGGATAATCGAATGACGGTTGCGTCAAATTTAAAGATATCACTAAGAAAACATAATAATAATAATAACAATGAATGGAACAAAATATACGACAGCAGGANCATTATTCCTCTATTATTATCACTGATGTTGTCGTTGTTAACATTATCATATGTATTTTCACTATCAGTGTTATCAAATCATTATTACTATCAAGATATCTGTACTGTCAATATGATCATCAATATTACTTCCAATCACATTAATGTTATTATTCTTATGATCAGAGTTGTGATCATCATTACAGTCATGGATGTTTGAATATTATTGCTATTCTCAGTATAATTAAGATCACTTACAATCTAGACAGAACAAACTTACTCCAGTTCTTTAATAAATGCTAGAATTCATCAGAGAATACGAGAGACCAACGTACCTAATGAAATATCCAGGCACACTAACCGTACCTAAACGAAACTAAACCGTTTGAGATGATAAGAAGGAGAGACATTCTCATGCCTTTGTAAGCCTTTCTGATAATACTACTGATAAGAACGTGCAATCCTATTAATAACAGTCTTACATTTCAATGCAACAGAGCGTTTTTATTACGTTGCAGAAGCTTGTTTAAAAATTCCTTGATAGACTAAAAAAAACTGTAAACAACAACTTGAGCAACACAAATTGATGCCATGGTAAATGTATGTAAAGTGATAAAAACATGCAAAACTTAATTTCTGATCACAGAATTCACAACGAAACGATGTTTGTAATGAGCGTGATGATTTGAAATTAGATTGACGACAAAAGGCATTCAGAGCACACACACACACACACTAATAATGTCATTGATAGTTGATTGGTTCATGATTGATTTGTCGTAATTCGACTAATTCTAATCATTTAATTAATTGACGGTAATCAACTGCGATACTGCGTATGTTAAAGAAATGTAATAAATCATACACGCAAACACACACACATCGAATTAAGATTGTTTGTCGCATTAAAGGAACATGCTACATTTACATTCCAAACCAAATGACTCAGTCAGTCCACTAGCGACTCCACAGCGTCTGAATAAACACAAACTTTTAAGTGGTGATCAACCCCGAATCATTTGCCATTATGACGAGATGTCCAACTATAACAAAAGGTCCAGAAGGCACA